CCGCAAAAGAGATAACCCAAAAAGGTATAGTGGGGAAAACTATAATAATCTGCACAGATAAAAGACAAGCGCTGCTAACCTTGAATAGACTACGTGTCACATGAGAGTTAGTAATGGAGTGCCACTAGTCACTAACTCAGGCTTCGGATGGTAATACTATCATCCTGAGGTGGGTTAAAATACACAATAGGAATAAAGGCAACCGCATTGCTGATCAATTGGCTAGGAAGGCGGCAGCCCTAAGACTCTTAGGACCTGGAGATCTTTTTGGTTGGTCAACTACAACAATCGCCGAAATTGTCAAATGTCACTCCCATACGCATACCATAAAAAGATGGGAAGAAGGGCAAGGATGTAAACTTGCCAGGGTAACACTAAGTAACCGTGAAGAGTCAGCATCAACATCATTTGCCACGTTTGTCTCCCTATACCGTCTGGTTTCGATTTTGTAGGGTTTGTTAAAGACAAACTTTAGTTCAATTCACCCTGGGCGAAAGGCCCTAGGTGCGTCCTAGGGCTAGGCTAGGCTAGCCGACTATTCATTATAGGCACTTCTCATATAGGCAATATATGCTCTTTTAGCTCTACCATCTAAGTGTGAGTTCCATATTAACTTCCTGTCAAGGGTAATACCAAGGTACTTCACCTCGTCAGAAAAATTTAGACTAGTTTAGAATCCTTGGGGATATTATGCCCGTGATTCTTCTTTTCCTGGTAAAGAGGACCATCTCTGTTTTCTTAGGATTTATAGATAGTGATTGTTCCTTGCACCATGGTTCTATTAGTCGGAGAGCAACTTTTGTAATAATCTCTCACATAGTGTATTCTCAAGCTTACCGCTTTGCAGGACAGCAATATTGTCTGCATAGGCTATTGTGTAGAAACCGTTGCTGCTGAGTTGGTGGGTGGAGAGTATCCAGAACTATGTTCCAGAGGAGTGGTGATAGCACCCCTCCCTGTGGACCCTGTCGTAACCATGCCTCTAACAGAAACGTCTTCTACATTTATGCTTATTGGTGAGAGCATACTGAATATCCCTTCGTTTTTGGTTTTGGAATAAAATAATATGTATCAATAAAATCATTATTCTTACTACTTTTTTTAATATTGTTCTGAAGCTATTCTCTTGTAACATTTTAATAATATTTTTTATCTTTAATCGGAGTTAATCAAACTTTCGTTGAAAGTACGTTTATTTTAACATTTCGATTTCGTATTTTGAGAAATGTTTAAAATGGACCTAACCTTTTTAAATTGGAAGTGCTCTATAATAAATTCTGGAATTAAACCACTGACAGTGACAATTACGAAGCCTTTAATTCGGCACAGATATCTGTGATATGACTTATTTTATTTCAACATAATTCTAATATATGGCGGGTACAGTCCCTATATAAGATGATTTATATGTATTTGAGTAATTTGGATTGTAAACACGTTTTTTTATTTGTTGGTCTACTTGAAGTAATGGTTGGTAAATGTGATCCTTTTTCACTTGGTAAGTATTTGTTTTTTTGTTCTAATATTGCTATTGTGTTGAAAAAAACTTTATGTAGCTGTTGGTATTTACTACTAACATTATGAAAAGTTTGAGTGATTTAAAAATAAATTGTAATTGTTTCTGCATTTGCTAATATTTGGTATGGTCCTATAAAAGGCGTACGCAAATGCCACCAGTAGGTGTTAACGGTTAAAAAAGTGGATTAAATAGATTAATTTTTATGACAAGATTTTAAACAATGAATTCTTTTCAGATTGAGGTTCCTATAATTATTGTATTTTACGGGAAAGGGAACACTGAAGTTGATGTGACCGTTGTCCAAGCAGAAGAAGCATTAGCTGCTCTAAATGATGACTTCTGATATAGAAGATGATGGAGATCCAGATTATAAAGAGGCTGATATGTCAACATCAGATGAGGATGAAGTAGCATTAGAAACAGTAGAAAGTCCTCAAAAGACTAAAAAAGTGGAAAAACAAAAAACTAGCTGGAAGATTGGAAAAGTTGTACCTCCAAATGGTATTGTCGATCGAACAAGTGAAAGTCATTTTAGTTATGATGAAAGTGACAGTTCAGAAGACCATTCACCATTTGATTATTTTTCACGCTATTTTCCACCTGAAATATTCAAGGAGTTATCTGGAAAAACAAATTCTTATTCTGTTTACAAGAATGGTAAAAGTCTCAGTACCTAGTGACGAAAATGAGATACGCTGCCTGGTTGCCCTGCACATTGTAATGGGAATTATTAATGTTCCGAAGCTAAGACTTTATTGGGCTCCCCGGACACAATTCCGTTTTATTAGATATCGGCATGTCCCGAAACCGATTTGAAAGTTTACTTAATCATTTACATATCTCAGATGTCAACACCGACAAAAAAACCAATGATAAACTTTGGAAAGTGAGGAAAATAATAGATGAGGCAATTATGCCATTCAAGGGGCAATTGTCTTCAAAACAGTATATTAGAGGCAAACCAAATGCTTGGGATATAAAAGTGTTTAATTTTTGTGGTAAATCAGGAATAATATACCGATCGGTAGTTTATTAAGGCGCAACTACATTACCATGTCTGTAGAAATGAACCACAATGCTACAACTTCACTTGTTCTGTATTTATCACAAAGATTGCCAGATAATTCGGAATATAAGCTCTACTTTGATAATTATTTCAATTCAATGGAATTACTAAAATAACTTCACACGAGAGGAATATTTGCTGCTGGAACTATTAGACAAAATCGCATGGGAAACTGTACACTTCGTTCCGAAATAGAACTGAAACTATCAGAAAGAGGAAGTTCAGACTCGAAAATTACTTCCGATCAAAATACTGTTGCGGTTAGATGGTTCGATAACAAGATCGTAAATATGGCCTCAAATTTTATAGGCTTAGAGCCTACTGATACTGTCTAACGTTGGGATAAAAACACAAACACATATGTACAAGTTGAACTCCGGCAGTAATTAAACTTTACAATCAAAGTATGGGCGGTGTGGATAAAATGATTTCCTTGTATCATTTTATAGAACGTTTATTAGAAGTAAGAAGTGGACTCTACGGGTAATGTTTCACTATTTCAATTTGTCAGTGTGCAACTCATGGTTGGAGTATCATCGTGACAATCAAAATAAACCTAAGTAAACTAAATACACCAAAATAAAAATAAGAAAATAGATTTATTGGGATTCACATTTTACGTTGCAGAAGCTTAATAGCTTTCTCTAAAGCTCCACTAAGAACACCGAAAAGAGGTCGTCCTTTAAATGAGTCACCTGGAAGTTCTCCTGGAGATTCCCTTGGAATTTCTTCCCCTTTTACGTTTGTAAAAGATGAACCTTCCAAGCGAATGAAACAGCAACAAACTTTCAGCGAAATGAGATACGATCAAATTTCTCACTGGCCAATTCCTACAAAAGGTCACGAACAGCGTTGCGGTTTTCAAGGATGGAGCGGAAGATCACGCATGATGCTTGTTGAAAGACAGAAATTGTTTCAAAAGTTATCATATAAGACGTCAATAAAACATAATATATTTTTATACATGCTTTTTCTGTAATTAATAAATATTATAGGTATATAATTTTCTGTTTATTGGTGCCTTAATAACCTCTTGGTGGCAGTTGCCACCAATTTGTAAAATGAAAAGTGGGGGTCAAAAATTTTATAAAAAATATTTTTAGTATTATTTAGACTTCCAATTAAAGAAAATATCAACACAAAAATTTTACCTTTGAAAAAAAATTCAGGATTGAAAGGGTTAAGGAATTATTAATAATTTTCAATAATGGGTCAACTTTTGGTTAAAGTATTTTCATTAGAATGTTTGTGGTAAAGTTCCATATGACAATTTATATATAAACTTGCGTGCATAGAAATCGGCCCACTGTAAACTTTTAACTTTAACTATATTTTTTTCAAGAAATTCATCAGATCACAAAAACAAATATACTGTTTGAAAGACAATTTAATATGCTTTAATGTGAGTATAAATTTATGAAAACTTATTTCGGCTTCCTATGTTTAACATAGTGAAATGAATTCATTAAGCAAATTAAGCTTTTATATTATTAAAATAAATAGGGTTATTGACAATTTAAAACTTAACACTTAATTTTTTAATAATTGATATGACCTCCTCTTGCCCTAATAACATCTCTGAACATCTCTCATACGATTAGGCATAGATCTAATCAAGTTTGCTATTGTTGCTTGTGGGATGTTAAGCCATACTCTTCTTCTGCTGCAAGAATAAGCTCTGGGATCGAGTCTGGGGTATGAAGTCTAGCTCGAATTCTTCGTTTTAGCTCATCCCATAAATGTTCGATCGGATTTAGGTCAGGACTGTTTGCTGGCCAGTCTATAACCTGAAAACCGACTTCTGCAATGTAATCTTGCACGATTCTTGAGGTGTGTACCCTTGCATTGTCATGCATAAAGATAAATTCGTCTCCAATGTAGTCGACGTAAGGTACCACATGAATGGCTAAAATCATTACTTATATATATTTAATCTATGGCTAAGATCTCCTCGATATATCTGGCAGCCGTTAAACCTCTTCTTCCGTGAATACGGTCGTCCCTACCATAGAGAAATAACAATAAACACTTATTTTTATTTCTCTATGGTCCCTACGAATGAACTCAAAGATCGGTTCGTGCCGATATTCTTATGTATCAATGAATAATTATCATATAATTCCATCTTTCTTTAAATTTATACATCGATGTGTTTAAAGTCATTCTAAATTTGTTTCCTATACTGTGTTCTAAATCTACATCACTGAAATCTACCTATCACAAACCTCCACAATTCATATTTATTTTGTTCTTTTGTATAGTTTGATGAATAATAAATTATTTTAACTCAGACACGTATACCCAATTATAATGAAAAAGAAAAGGATAACAACTAATTTATATGTGTTTAGATCTATTCAAAGTTTGGAAGTAAAATAAATGTCTTGTCAAAATGGGTAAATATGTCAACGTCACTGTCAGTGAAAACTTGATCAAAATGTTTTGATGAGATGAGTTGGAGTGTTTTAAGTGATTACTTTTGAATAAAAAGTTAAAGAATATCGGTATAAATTTATTTTTCGAACCTAAGAAAACTACAATGAAGAAAATGCAGTATAAATTTCTGTTGTTGCTATTTTTAATGCTAATTTGTTGTGAGTTTTCCGATGAAACATTACAGGGCCCTTCTGAGGTATCTGAAAAAAAGAGTAAAGACAGTAAAAATGAAAATGCGATTCCAAAGAAACGGGAATTTATTGCCTCCATTGAAGAACGTGACGGAGCAACTGCAATACGAATAGAACCAGCTCCTGATCTTACTAATGAACGGGAAAGACAAAAAGGTATATTTGGTTTGGAAACAAAAATCTGAGAAAAATAAAAAAAGATGGTACATAAAATATGTGAATTTTATAAACATATCTAAATCTCAATTTCAGTGTCTGTTCAAAAACAAGTTAAGTACAAGAAAAAGTACCTAAGTAAAATATGAAAGTAGGTCTTTTTATCTAATTACTTAAGCTTAAGCAATGTTTTAATGTAGGGCTTCTCTTGTTTAATCTGTTTTCCATTATCGTAGGGCCTTGTTTTTATAGTCCAGTTTGAATGAGTGTTAGCTGAAGGGTCCAATGTACAATTATATTAATCCATCTCCATCTGGATTAATTTTGCCTGAAGATATCTCCAATAAATTTCTATTATTTTTGAAAAAAAGAAATGAGAAATGTAAATGTCTTCTTATTTTTGGTTTTATTAATACATATTTTTTCTTGTCTTTTATTACATATGTTCATATTCTGCATTGTGGTCTACATATCTATTTCTTCTGATATATTTTATATATGTTTATGTTAAACAAAAAATAAAAACAGTAGAAATGTAATTGCTTAAAGAGTAGGCAGATTATCAAAACTTTTGATCAAAACAATTTGATTACAGATGAGACTAATAAGAATAGATTACCTACAGAATAATAGCCTAGCAACTCATATGGTACAGACATATGGAAATAATTAATCAAGTCAGATGGCTAAACAGTATTAAAAGGAGCTATATTATAACAATTTTTCTGTGTGAATTGTTATTTTGCAAGCAAAGTTGTGGATCGAAATTATTTTGATCTAATAAGCAATCTTTTTATATAATGAGCAAATCTAATTTGTAATTATACATATAAAAAGATCAATAATAAACCAGAAGTCAACAAAAACTTTCACTAGAAGTAAAAAATTTTTAACAGGAAGTTAATGAAGATATGTTTGTAGATATATTTCTACCTGCTGGTCAGGAATCAGTTGTCAAAATAAGTGTATCTATCATCGTTTGTGAGTTATACTGTTTTGTTAATTTACTCAAAACAGGAAGTAAAATCGAAACGTCAAAATAAATATATTTTAAACTGAAATTGTAGTTAATTCTAATTAAAGATAGCAAATAATTTTTTAATATTTGATACAATCCTTTCCTTTTTAAATTATGGACAGAGTACTAATTTAAAATATTTTTTTAAGGTGATAACATTGATAGTGAAATATCAGAAGCAGTTGACTTGTTCATGTTAGATCAAGCTAAGGTTATACAAAAAATGGTTCAGCACCTGGATATTGTCAATAGCCTACAAGAAAATACAGCTTTTGATGAACCAATTGAAGTACCACCAATTCCTGCAAGTGCTTCAGAAGAAGAGATTTTAACAGATGAAGAACTTGAAGCTAAAAAACTATATCAAACTGCTCAAGAGTTGCTTTCTAAAACCAAACCAGACAAAGAAGAGATCTTTCAAATGTTCATGGAAGCATCTAATAAAGGAAATCCTGAGGCTAAAGGGATGTTAGCCTGGGCCAAACTTTTTGGGGTTCCTATGGAACAGGATATATATGTGGCTAAAGAAATGTTTTCTGAATTGGCAGCAATGGGTAAAGCAGATGGACATGCAGGCTTAGGTATAAGTTTTGAGTATATAAAATGTTTCTTATAATTGGATATTCCCTTAAAAACATTAGAATGAGAGTATTTATAGATACGCCAACTTCTTTTACATATGATAATTTTTATGTTAGGATATATTTTTGTTTGCAGGGTTTCTCTATGCTACTGGTTTAGCAGTGAATGTAAGTCAGCCAAAAGCTTTAATTCATTACACTTTTGGTGCTATAGGTGGTAATCACTATGCTCAAATGGCTCTGGCATACAGATATTGGTCAGGTATTACGGTACCTGCGAGTTGTGAGAAAGCATTGGATTTTTATCGCCAGGTAGCAGACAAAGGTAAGTAAAGTTTTTATTTTTCATTAACTTTATACTTAAAATATTTGATTTACTTGTTTGGATATACATATTAAAAAAGTTTACTTAAATGTTTTAATCATTTTGACAAAAATTTTATCTAAAATTTAAAAAGTTGTCATATTTTACCCATTGTCAGATCTTGGGCCAATATCAAACCCAAAATATTCTTAATTAACATCATCATCATCATCAATGGCATTACAACTCTTCAAGTGTCTTTGCCGCATTTACTATTGCCTCCCATTTTTGTTGGTACTGTGTTAGTTTGCCGCATTATGAAAAAAAGTTTATTTTAATTATGTACTAGGAATGTGCACAGAATACTCAAAGCAAATACGAGTGGTTTCAACATTGAGAATTTGCCTATACAGAAATGCCACACCTGCTGTGCTACATACACTCTAATTCTTTCAACAGTAAAGAAAAGATCAACTCAAAAGTTGATTGTAATTTTAAGTCGAAAAATTTAGTGTTTAGTGAAGATTTTGTTTTATGTCTCAAATAAGTATTGCTAAGTTGGTAGTGAGTTGCATTATTATTGCTGTTTACCAGAGAAATATTCTAAAAGCCTAAATATTAATTAAAACAGGTATAATACTTTGGTTATCAGAGAAGGTGGATGTTTTTGAGGAACAGTTATATCCTGAACAAATTGTTTTTTTAACACTTATTTTACAATTGGTTCAATGCAAAAATCGCTAAAAATGTAGAAATGGCCTCTAAATAAAGATCAAGCTTACATTCTCTTGGTCTGATTTTCTTGGATCTATTAAACCTCCCAAACAAGTTACAAAAACAGGTATCTTTTCTGTGCTTGAGCTGACATGTTGGTACAGGGACTAAATATGCAGGTGCACATTTTTGGTACCACGCTTTTTTCAATATAAGTACATATCTTTGTATCTGAAACCTTACGATACAGTGTTTTTCATTGAATATTCACCTCCTTAGTGTTTAAGTTTTTATTAGGTACATCTAGTTACATTCTATGAACTACCTAATCACATTTTTTTTTGTAAGCTATTAAAATAATCCCAAACATATTTTAGTTTTCTCCAATAAATTCTGAAAAAATATTATTTTCCGGTTTTTTTTTTTTATTTATTTTCTGGGATAGGGAAAATTAAACAAAATGTGTGCTTAACGTTATGTGAGCCCGGGTGCAGATGCAAGCAAATTTGCTGCCTCATCAGCAGTTTTGGAAAACGTATATAAGAAAACATCGCAAATTAGTGAAAATTAATAAAAACAAAATTTTGAACATTTCAATCATAAAAATATATTTCTACAAAAATCTACATAGTTATTTTACAAAAAATAGATTAAAATAAAGAAAAAAGAAATACAACACTAGGTAGGTATACACATCTAAATACTAAAATCGACTTTTCTTGCATTTTTAAATGCAAATTCCCTAACTAGGTCAGTCACATCTAAATTAAAACAAATATCTTCCTCGATAATTATTATAGCTAAATTTGTATGCCTGGATTGGCTCATGGTAGATCTTAGGTAGCTTTTTATTAATTTAAGTTTTGAAAATGATCGCTCCCTATGAGCTACAGTGACTGGCATAGTTAAAAATATTCTAAATGCAACAAATAAATTAGGAAATATTCCTTTTAACTTGTTAGCAACGAGATAGGCTAACACTTCTTTGGCCGACATATTATTTTTATTAGTAATGTAAATAGACAATAATTATCAATTTCATTGTAATGATCTATTGCATTTATATCAAAATTTTTTGTTTCAAGTCAGTTAGTTTAGTTTCTAAATTGGTACAATATTTCATTATTTCCTAGAAAAGACACTTAAGGCTTATCCTCGATAATTGTAACGGTAAAATTCAGAGAGATGTCTATTTCAAAAATATCTTTCTTTACAAAAACAAAATCCATTCACGAAGAATATTCTAAACGTCATCTTGTACTAGAGGTAAGCTTTATACCTACCTTATACAACCCCCTATTGTGTAAAGTCTTGGGTCTATACAATAAACGACTGGGCGGCCTTCTATTCAGTGTGGTTTTGAAATAATGTTGAATAAAAACATTCATGAAATTAAAATGAAAGAATTTACGTCTATTAGTAGAAGTGCGATTTATAAAATTAGTACTTGAAGCATAAATCGCGGGAGGAATATGTGCATCAGTTTTCAAATATTTATTATTTACTATATAATTTCTAAATTGAACCACTTTCACTTCTTTAGTTAACAATGTATCTGTTTTGACAACTAAATAGGTAATTAGACAAAATAATTATTAATTTCAAAACAGGAGTTTAAAGAATTAGAAAGAGGTAGCCCGGGCCCAGTTAAATGGTCAAGCTTATTCCAGTGGAAGCAATAAGGAGGATTATTTTTCGTTTTGGCACAGCTGACATGCTCTCTCTAGTACTACAACCCATGAAACTGTGGTAAAAAGCATGCTTTATTTATACGGTTGTGAAACACGACGATTAACAGAGACAGATTAATATCGAAGAAAGATATCTCGTCGAACTTAATGCAATAAAGTATGAGAATAGAAGGTACAGTCATGGATGGCATACATCGAAAGCAGCTCAAATGGGTACAGGTCCAATAAATGAAAGACAAGAGACTCCTAAAACAAGTACCTGTATGAACACCTACCGTAATCCAGAAGAGAGGATTACCTTAGAAAACACGGATGGAAGGAATAAGAAACTTAATGAGCTCGAAAGAACTTAAAGAACAATGGAACAACCGAATTGAATGAAAAATGAACGTCGGAAGACATTTTATAAGGATTATATCATATTATAGGTACATTTTTTGGACTAAAAATAAATTTGAAGAAAACCAAGTTCATGGTATTTACAAAAGCACAAAGCATCAAAGTTAAGCTAGTACTAGATAATACAGAAATTGAACAAATATCTTTGTACAAATACCTTGGAGCATGGATCACAGAAGATACTGATTAGACAAAAGAAATAAGATGCCGCATTGGAATTGCACGGTCAACTTTTAATAGAACGAGAAAACTTTTTTGTAATCGAGATATCAATATATCGCTCCGGATAAGAATGCTTTGATGTTATATTTTCTTTACCCTTTTATATGGGATTCAAGCTTGGTCACGGATCGCAAAACAACCGAACAAGTTCTCGAACAACTAGGAAAACAATGCGAAGTTTTAAATTCCATAAAAATCAGGAAATTAGAATACTTGGGGCACATCATACATCACACATCAAGACGTAAAATCTAGTGGTTACGTAATCTCCGTGAATGGTTTGGATGCAATTCAACTGAACTATTCAGGCGCATATCCAACAAAATGATAATTGCCAGAATGATTTCCAATCTCCGATAGGAGTGGAACTTGAAGAAGAAGAATAAGTACATTATTATTATATCATATTATATATATATATATATATATATATATATATATATATATATATATATATATTTATATAATATATGATATAAACGATATTGAAAGAGGTTACAACATAGACAATCAACAAAATCTACATCGACAACTACACAGTGAACACCCAACAATAATAGAAGTGTCAAATGCCGTCCTAAAACTCAAAGACAATAAAGCCACAGGAATCGATTAAATCTGTTGGAAAATATATAAAAAAAGGTGATGATCAGCTTTTTGCAGTAACCCATAAACTAATAGTACTTATATGGCAAAATGAATTTGTTCCAGAAGAGTGGCTAAATGAAATAATATACGTTGCATAAAAAGGACGATTAACTGGATTGTAAGAACTATAGAGGCATTACTCTGTTAGCATCTTCACCTGTTAGCACCCTGCTTGGCAGGGTCACATATCAGATCAATTTACGGTTGCAAAAGGCTTGAGACTGGGAGATCCTTTATCCACTACATTATTCAAATTAGTATTAGAAACTGTAATCAGAAAATGCAGCATGAAGATGGAAGAAACGATCATGAAAAATGAGCACCAGTGCTTGGCATTTGCTGATGATCTAACGATCCTAGCAAAAACCGAGTAAGAATTAAGAAGAGTTGTGAAGAAAATCATCGAAGAAGCACAGAAATTTGGATTGGAACTAATGAAGACAAAACTAAATATATGATCATAGAAGGAACAGAAGGGAAAAAAGAAGACTTTAGTATGAGGTCAGTAAGTGGTAAAAGCTATAGTTTTAAAAGGGTGGACAAATTTGAATACCTAGGTGTAGTTTTCGATGAAAATGGAAAAGATAAATGGGAGCTCGTAGCCAGAATAGCAAAAGGGAATAAAAAATTAGGTGGTTTAAGAGCCCTACTGAACTCAAAATACGTTTCTAGACAAGGTAAACTCAGAATATATAAAACAGTAATTCGACCCACAGTAACATATGCCGGTGAGCCTGGACATTAAATAAGAAGGAAGAGGATACTCTGGAAAGATGGGAAAGGAAAATATTGAGATGCATATTCAGAGGACGAAAGGCAGAAAATGGTTGGGAAAGAAGAACCAACAATGAATTAATGGCTTTATACAAAGAACCTACTATTACCAAGTTCGTCAAGGCACAAAGAATCAGATGGTTGGGACATGTGGAAAGAATGGCAGCAAACAGAATTCCTAAACTAGTAATAACCAGAAAATTAATCGACCCCAAAAGAAGAGGTAGACCCAGAACGAGGTGGATTAGTAAAGCGGAGGAAGACCTTAAACACGTGAAGGTGAGGGAATGGAAAAAAAAAGCACAAAATAGAAGCGAATGGAAAAATATTGTACACCAGGTCCTTCAAAGTAGTTAAGAATGTTATATATACATATTTACGTTAAAGTTTTGTTTAAAATAATTGTAATTAGTTAATATTAGAATTATGTTGTAAAAAAAATGCTTTAGGCCTTAACGGCCTATTGTGCGTAAAAATAAATAAATAAATAATAGAGTGCAAAAATCGAAAGAATCGCGTTTTTTGCATTAATTGTTAATCATTAAAAAACGGCTCCGAACTTTACGCAGGAAACAGGTAGGTTTTCTTCTTATAGGTCTACAATAACTAAAAAGTTGTCAGCTACCTGGATTATTGAGTGTCACGAGAAAATCCTTATTAGCCTGGACTAATATGGCTGGACAAGCAAGTGAAGAAACAAACTTCATATATTATGTAAACTTTACTAACAAAAACGTTGAAAATAAATATTCCTATAAATATAAATAATCAAATTCCATATTCAAATACAGCAAAATATTTGGGTATTGTCCAATAAATATAAATAATCAAATTCCGTATTCAAATACTGCAAAATATTTGAGTATTACTCTAAGCTTTTATGTAAAGAAGAAAAGAAAATAATAATTCTGATTGAAATACAAAAAAATGTACTGGCTGATTGACCAAAATTCTACGCTGTTTCTACATAATAAATTATTATATAAGCAAATACTGAAACAATAGTATTATTATAAAAACAGTATAAACATTTAGAAGGAAAATGTTACAAATTAACAGAAAATATTTCTATTCATATAAAAATTTAATCAAATTATAGGTACTTATTATAGGTACTGCTTATTTATATAAAATTTCCTCAATCGGAACATAAACTTCTTCGTGAACTACCCATTTTAAAAACAATTAACACACTGGTTTGTCAAAAGTCGAAATAAACCCTAATAATGTTATTCAACATTATTTATGACCCACCTTCGAGAGGGTATTATACTTCTTACCTAACCAACCTAACCGTGTCGACGAGAATCCAGAAACTATCGACAAGGACAGCCTGTACTGGCCGAGAGAGAAAGTTACATTTAGCAAAATTTGAGATTTTAAAAAAAGTTTATACCAAATAGCTGCTTTGTGTTACACTTTATGTTAAAAATAAAAACAGATTCGGAAAGTGGGTCAAATTCTGTAGTGCCCTATTTCAAAAAAAAATTTTTTACGTTTATTTTAACCAAAAATATTTGAAAAAAAATATTGTTTAAACAATTTATTAATTTACAACTAAATAGTGCACTAGAACTTTTTAAGACCTTTCATATAAAAAAAGAATCATCTCAATATCTGCCATAGTTTTTGCGTTATTTGATATAAACTTTTACATTGGAACTTAGGTATGCCCAGAAACGCAAGGAACGGCCTTAAGTTATTTAAAAAGCCAAACGATTCAACTGTGTTTCTAAATCTTGAAATCTCTCATCTAATCTTGAGATGGCAATATCAAGTATATACAATCCAAATTTACTTTAAAATGTAATTCTGGAGATTGAATTGGCTCATCTTTATGTTCATATTCATAAAAAGTTTTTTTTTCTTCTTGGTCGAACTGTATGAACTGCAAGAAATGAAATTTCTGCATCCATTTCTTGAGCTATTTTTTAGCTTCATTGAGAAAATTTATAAACCCATTGTCGGATCTTATGTCTGTTAAAAATATTTTAATTATATTTAACATTTGTACAACTTCTGGTAAAATAACCTTATTTTTGGATGATTTTGCTAACTACATTTATTTTTAATAAAATATTGTACCAAACAACTAAGGAACATATAAATTTAAATGATTTTATTTTATTAATCAGGGAACTTGTAGTATTTCTTGTGTGATTATCTCTAGATGTATCATTATAAAGGGCGAAGAGTGTATCATAAACTTTTTCCAATTCATACCTAAGAGTCTTTACGGCATCAATTCGACTCTCTCACCGAATATCAGAGAGCTGTTTTAGCGTTAACCTGAGCACTTCTTTTAAAAGAATATTCCATCGATATGTTGATGCCGAAGAAAAGACATATATAGTTCCTGAATAATACTGAAAAAATTGGTAACTTCAAGCGAGCTTTTTGCTGCATTATTCACGACTAAATGAAGGCTGTATACCACTCAAGGGACAAAAAAGGCTCTGGGATTAATATTTAAGATTTTTTTGTAGGCCATTGTGTTTGCCTGTCATATTAGCACCATTTTCATAACCCTGGCCTCGCATATCGGCAATATTAATATCAGATCCCTTTAAAAAATTTAATATGAAATCACTTAAACCTTGACCAGTAGTGTTGCTAACTTCGCAGAATACCAAAAAATAGTTTTCGGACCTCTACAGTTTTAGAAAAATCATCAACAAAAACAAATCTAACAACAATTGTGACTTTTGTAGCGGTCGACTTTTTAAAGATATCTAGAATATAATAGACTTTTCGATTTTCCAAACTGCTTAATTTTAACTATAACCTACTCCGTGTTTTTATAGCGATGAAGCTTATCTCCTAAAAGAAAACTTAATGCAGCCCTATCCAGGAAAAACGTTAAACCTATCACAAGAAAATTTTAATAAGCGATTATCTCAAGCTCGAAAAACTGTAGAATTGGCATTTGGAATATTATTTGCAAAATTTTGAATTCTGAGTTGTGTTATTGAAATAGGCGAAAAAACTTCGGACATTCTCATTAAAGCAATCTGCAAACTACACAACACTATCATTGAGAAAATATAACATACATATTCTGAATGTTTTCAGTACTTCCGCAAAGCATAGAAACATGTACCGTTCGCGTAATAAAAAACTGGTACAACTTTTATTACCGAAAATCGTGTTTTTCAAGTTTTGTAAGTTGATCTTGTCACATATGTCATTCTAATTTCTAGGGCAGCGTTGCCAGTTCAACGAAAATATTGTATCAAATCAGCTAAAAGGAGGGCTGTGTGACAGACACATTATATAATTACAGTAGATGCATTCCAATGTTCCCTGTGCCAATCATCGAGCAAAAAGACAAGTGCCAATACTCTACGTTTAAAGATCCCTTAAACATTTTGGGCATTAACTCAACCCTCTCTTTGGTCATTAACTTAACTCTCTCTCTCTCTAGTCATTCAATTTATTAGATACGGGTTTTTGTTGTTAATGATAATAATATTACCTATATAAAAACTTTAAGCATTTTTGAACGTTCTTTTTTATTTAGATTTAGTGCAATTCCGTTATCTGTGATGGCAACAATGAATTGATTCACGAACCATTGTGTCAAGTCTGAACACAGGTTTACATTGGGGAAAAAAGTGTACCAGTTTTATATGACGGGAAGTACTTTACATCGAAATTAAAATATAATATTTTTTAGTTAGTCAAGGCGTATCTTTTGGTGGCGGTTCTGCGATACAACGAATAAGACTATTCGATGAATTAGAAAATGGTTTTGCTTCTGGAATTCTAGACAACGATCTTATTGAATATTACCAGCTTTTGGCAGAGAAAGGAGATGTTCAGGCTCAGGTATATTTATATTAAATTTATTTTTATTTGAATATAATTCCTTTGTGATTTAGTATTTCTCAGTGTATATTAATAAGTACGCTCAATCAAATAAATCTTAACCCTTTACCGCATTATGTGCCATAAATGGCACAAACCAAACGAAATTTTTTTAAGTTTTAACTCAATTTTTGTCGTAGCTGTATGGCAGCCCATATCTGGCATGCACTAATAGTGTACGCGAGATATGCGGCATAGTTCTGACGGCGAGATAGGCAGCCGTGCGCAGTTTCAAGTACATTCTTGTTGATATTCTGAACCACGTGAAACATTTCGAAGTTTGAGGTTATTTTTCATGGTAAAAACTTTTTACGGCGTGAAACAATGAAATTCATTGTATCGTGTTATTAGATATCTTCTCAGGCGAGTACTAAAAAATATGATTATTGAAAGTCTTTCGAAAACCCCAAAAGGGTTTGTCCTATATATGGTAGGTACACTCTGTACACAAGTTATGGACTCATTAATTGTTTTTTTTTATACGGATGCATAACTCTTTTATGCTACAATGAGTGCAGTTCATATACCACATAGTACTAATAGTAAAGAATCAGATGCCTCCGATGAAGATGGCACAAATGAGATGATATTGTGTCAAGATAGTGACAATAAGGAGCGTGAAGATTTACCAAGCAATGTTAAGGAAAATGCCATTCCTGTCACATCCTCAGATGATGATAACCCTTTGTTTAACAAACTGCTATATAAAAGGAAGAAATCTCAAAATTTTGTGAAAGATAATCTGAGATCAGAAAATGATACAAAATTTACTGGTTCTGAAAATGTACCGTCTTCGATTTTACAATTAGAAACTCCGGTCCAATTTTTAAGTTTCTCTTTCCTGGTAGTCTTGAGCATATCACAGAACAATCAAATTTATACTCAGTGCAACAACGTCCAGATAAACCAGCCAATATAAAAAATACTATATAGAACAACTTTTAGGAATTACTATGTAAATGTCGATAATTCAACTTCCATCAACAAGACAGTATTAGAATGCCAATATTGGTCACCGAGCAGTTAGCGAAGTCATGAGCTGTAACCTATTCGAAGAAATAAAACGTTTCTTCCATTTCAATAATAATGATGACATGATTAAAAATGATCAGCCTGGACCTGACAGATTATTCAAAATTAGGCCTGTTCTGAACGAAATCAAAGAACGGCTACTCATGGTTCCGAAAAAAGAATTTCTAGCCATAGTAAACGAATAGATTATACCAACAAAAGCGCGAAGCCAGCTAAAACCGTATAAGTGGGGCTTCAAAAACTTTGTACTGAGTGGTATTTCGAGATTCAGCTAGGACTTTGATTTGTTTGCTGGTCCCCAAAGTAATATTGTACCTTCAGGAGCACCAAATCTTCGATACCAAAACATCAATATTACAAGTTGTTTTTTGACAATTAGTTCACCAGCACATCTCTTATGATATATCTGACCAAAGAGGTCATTTTGCCTTTGGGAACAGTAAGACTAAATAGTGATCTTGGAGTTGTGATGCCAGCTGAAAAAGAAATGAAGAAGAAATGAAGAGGTTATATGATAGAGAAAAAAGCCAATATAGACAATGTGGATATCAGTGTAGTGTCCTGGTTTGATAGTAAAATAGTTACTACAATGTCCAGATATGCTGGAAGTTAACCAAAGGGAGAAAAAAGAAGGGTTTTCAAACAAGAAAGTACACATAAAATGATACCTTGTTCTAACAGTGTCCTTATCTACAACAACTACATTGGAGGTGTAGATCTCCTGGATTCCATGTTAGGATTTTATCGTATAAAAATCAGGCCGAAGAAATATTATTTACGAATATTTTTTCATTTCATTGATGTGATAGCCGTGAACTGTTGTTATTAGCCAGAATTTGTTTTATCTCTTTTGGATACCAAACTGGCAATAGCCGATGCTCTTTGCAAAGCTGGAAAACTAACTAAACAGAACAGAGTAGTCTTCAGGAGATGTACGAGTATAAACGAAAAAAGGGACCCACTAAAGAAATACCCAAGAAGACATCCTTAAAATGGGTTTGATCATTTTCCCTATTGGGATGAGAGCACTAGGCCAGGATGCAAATTTCCATAAAAATGCAATTTTTATATGGAATAAAATATATATAATGTACACAAAACGCACAATACGTTGTTTCTTCATATAGAAAGAAACTGTTACTTGTAGTTTGACTTTAATATTATATCGTTGCATAATGTTCCATATTTGGCAACAAAAAAAATTTTTTGTCAATAAAGTTTTCTTCTTAGCTATATTTTTTCAATATTTTACTGGAAAATAGAATTAAAATTCTTATCTGAGAATTTATTTTTGACAAAAAACAAAAATTTATGCGGTAAAGGGTTAAAACGAAAATTTATGATCTTTTAATTTAATATGTTCAAAAAACTTTATTGTAATTATCCGCATAATCATAATAATCTGAAATAGTAGAAAATAAGAATTTTATTTAAAAAATTCTTTTATAAAAGGTATAATAATAAACCTTCGTCAATGGACTGGCTTATCAGCAGATGAATTATTACATGGTGCGCAAGATCGAGAACGATATCGGCAAATCGTCATTAAAGCTACCCACGCCTAAAACTTGGGCACGGTACTCAAAGAAGAAGAATAATAATAAAAATCCTATCCTATCCTATATTCTAAAATAAGCATAACCACTTTAATTAAATCAAACGTGAAACATTTTGAACAAGGGACAAATGTGTGGTTAATATTTACTGGGATTTACATGTTTAAAGCCACTAAATATGTGGGTAAAAATCCTTTAAATGTAGTTTGATTAACTTTGAGTTACGTCTTTGAAAAGTAAAAACTATGATGTTTAAGTTACAAAAGGAATTGATCACATGGCAACGTAAGTCTCCACTTTGGTTGCTAGTCCTTAGACGAAGTGTCTATGACATCAACAACAAGTTCTCACAGACACTTCAACTAGCAACACCAGTGGAGGTATTTTGTGATAGCACTGATAATGGAATAGTTATTCCGAAAACGTTATGTTCTTAAATAAAATTTTTGTATGATATACAGTCAACTACAGGAATTTAGTTTCCTTGTGGAAATAAGAATATTATTTCCCATTTCAAATTATCTTATAAAATGTTACTCATTCACCACTTTTAATAATATATCACTGTAAACAGCAATAGGTGCCTTAGTTAAGCTACCTAGAAATTTATAAATTTAATAAATTATTTATGTTTTTATTTTTTATTTTATAAATATATAAAATTTATATTTATTTATATCGTACCCTAAATGATAAAGTGGCACAAATAAAAAATATGATTTTGAAGAAAATACAAAAAATGTTTCAATAATTACGGATATCTGTTGTATCATTGTGGCTGCCGAACCTATAATACTTCTAAGACAATAACATTTACCGAAAGGTACCTTGTTGTTTATAGTTTACTCTGCAAATTTTGTGTAATAATTTTGTTATGATTGAGTTTTTGATTTTTTGTATTAAAAAACATTGGTAAAAGAAGAATAATAATTGATGTATATTTCAAATAAACCAGCAACACTACATTTTTTAAAAAACACTTTTTAATTTCAGGTTGGTTTGGGACAGCTTCATTACCAGGGAGGTAGAGGTGTAGAGCTGGATTATCAAAAGGCCCTTCACTACTTTACTCAAGCCGCTAATGCTGGCAATGCTTTGGCTATGGCATATTTAGGAAAAGTAAGTAACGATGCTAGGAGTCTACATAGTACATAATAATAGGGTGATAGTGGATGAATATCAAAATGTTTCATATTAGAATTGTTGGTGGTAACTAATGTAACCGAACATAGTAATCGTAGGTGGTAACCAAGGTGGCCAAATAGTGGTGGTTGTGTTGTTGACAACCATATGGTATACCAGTCAGGAAATGACGACGGTCAAGATGTGTATGGGGTTAAAGTAATCATATCTCCTCGATTACGTCAATAGGTTACAAATGTTATACCTGTTTCTGAAAGATTAATAATAATCAAAATGGATACTACTCCGGTCAAATTAAACGTTTTACAAGTTTATGTCCTAAACAGCGATAAACCAAAAGAACAAGTAGAGTAATTCTATGAGTTGTTGATAAATTCACCTAAACGAATTAAAAAATAAGATATAACTTATGGGTGACTTGAATGCGAAAATTGGTAAAGGGAAAAGGGGTGAATTCATTGCTAATTTTGTTTTAGAGAAGAGAAATAAAAGGGGAGAAAGATTAGAACTATTTGTAGAGGAAGAAGAATTTGAAATATTAAATACGTTAGAAGAAGAAGAAGAAATATGTTTTATTGTCACTGAAAATTGTACAATTTTATGGACAATGCTTATAAAAGTTAAAAAAAGAAGTAGTAATAACAATAACAATTAAAATTTATTAAAATTACATAAATCGTCAATATCACAGAATAAAACATAAAATATACAATCTATTGCAAAATTTCACTATATTGCAAATTGCATAATAAAACCTTACGAACTAGTTTACGAATAAGTTTAAGTTCTTTGAACTAATACCAAGACTTTTGTATACTTTCTCCGCAGTGTCAACCAGAAAACATAATACGGAATCAAATTGATTACATAATGGTGAACAAGAGATTTCGTCATGGATGCCTATCAGTTAAAAGTTACCCCGGTGCTGACATATCGTCAGATCATGTTCCTTTCAGAAAAGTTAAGTAACATGGAGCAAACATAATTTAAAAGAATCACTTCGGAATATATGTGAAACTTTTAACAAGAACGGAGAAGAAACATCTAATAGAAAAGAAACAGAAGAGGTAAAGTTGGATGGATGACAATATACTGAAACTTCTGGAAGAAAGAAGAAAATCAAAGATCAACAAAAGAATGTACAAAAATATTTAGAAACAAATAAGAACCGAAATACGAAAGGCCAAAGAAAATTGGTTAAAAAGACAGTGTGAATGATATAGATATGTATGAAATTGAAAGCATCACTCGTATCCATGTTTAGGGCTCAAAGCCTTTAAAAATATGTTCAAAAATTATTATTAGCACCAGATTTAACTATACGGCCTCACTCCCTCTAAGGGGAAAATTCACCCATCCCAGATACCTACGGTATCACAAGGATTGAGCTCTGGTGGGACTCTTTCCGTCTTATTCGGCCCTAGGTGACTTGGTATGTTGGAGTATCTTCCAAAAATTTTCGTACACATCTGGACGTCGCGAGGAGTACAACTTTCTGCATGGCCGTATAGAGAGATTCATTTAGACCCAGCTGTTTTATGTTCTCTAGGAGGTTTTTGGGAATAACACCAGTAGTAAATAGAATAATAGATACTGTCTGGGTACTTTCCATTCTCCATTGTCTCCTCATTTGTATTTTTCGATTTTTTTACTTGGCGATCTTTTCGTTGTATTTAATACGCAATTTATTGGTGTTGGGTATCGCCACATCAATAAGCGTTGTTTTCCTAGCTAGTTTATTAACTAGTATCAGATCCGGTCTATTATGTGCCACTGGTTGGTCTGTAAGCACAGTGCGGTTCCAGTATAGCTTATAGTTATAATTTTCAAGCATTCTGTGGGACGTATTGATAATAAGGAAGATGGTTGGTTTGGAGAAGTCCCAGTTTGTCAGCTAGTTCTTGGTGGATAATCTTTCCTACTGAGTCATGATGTTCTTTATAAGCAGTACCGACAAACGCCTGGCAGCCCCTGGTAAGATGTTGAATAGTTTCTTGGGCCTGGCATCCATATCGGCATTTGTCTTGGACTTGAGGATCTTTAATAATATATTTTAGGTAATTTTTTGTTGGAATAACCTGATCCTGAATGGCAAGTAGGAAACCCTCAGTCTCGGGAAACATATTTCCTAATGTCAACCAATAGTTCGACGCTGTATTGTCGACATATTATTTGCTGATCTCATTGTGATGTCGCCCATGCAGAGGTTTACTCATCCAGGTGCGCATTTTTTCTTGCTTAGTCAGGTGATTTATGCGCATTTTTTGTTCCGTTAGTTTAAGCGGCGTCGTATCGTCTATTGCGCAAATTGCTCGATGTAAAGTAATGTCTCAGCCTGTACCTGAAAATAAGTTCTTAAATTAGCAATCTGTTTATCCAGTTGCTCATCTATGTCCATAAGTCCTCTTCCTCCTTGATATCACGGTAGTGTTGTTCGCTCCGCTATGGTGTTTTTGCGCCCTTGTGAGAAGTATTATTATTTTCCGCTGGAGACTCTCTATATCCTTTTTTGACCACTTTATAATCTCCAATGAGTAGCTCAGCGCAGAACAGGCGTACGTATTTAATGCCTTACTAGCCTTATTAGCACTATTATTAAGATTTTAGTATAATTATAGTTGTGTGAGAGCAAAAAATTGTAATTGTTAACGAATATTCTAATGACTTCTTATAACTGTTCATGTTTCAATTTTCTTTCAGATATATTTAGATGGTAGTGACGAAATTCCTGCTAATAACGATACTGCTTTCAAATACTTTAAAAAAGCTTCGGATTTGAATAATCCAGTTGGATTGAGTGGATTAGGCTTAATGTATTTGTATGGAAAAGGCGTTGAAAAGGATTATACAAAGGCTCACCAATATTTTTTGCAAGCTGCTGAACAAGGTTGGGTAGATGGACAGTTGCAGCTGGGGAATATGTATTTTGGTAAGTTTAATTTTAGAAAAGTGACTTAGGTCTCCAGTTTTAATCAAATGATATAAACAATTTATAACTTTTCTGTATCATACCATTTCAGCAAATGTGTTTCGTACTACAAATGATTCGGATGAATTACTGGGTCTATTTTAATTTTTTTCATATTTATTTATATTATTTAAATGGTATTATAGATGAAAAATATATTCTATGTGTTGCCGAAACTTCTTAATAATCATGGAAACTTACATTGAAAGTTCCAGGAACAGTTTGTGTTTCATAGTTTTGATAAGGTTAGGTTTAAATTTAAAATAAATAACTTCATAACAGAAACCAATTCAAAACAATTGTGTTTTTAGTTAAGTTACACAAGCACAAAGGAAAATAAATCTTATGATTATGAAGTAGTGAAAGAGATCCGGAAACTATTTATTCGCCTTAAAAGGCGTCCGCTTTTTAATGTAAGTTTTCATGATTATTTTCCGATATTACTTACAGTGGGTGATCAAATTATTATGATCACTTCAAAAAAACTTTGTATTTTGTTGTTTAATAAAGAATAAAACTGCATATAAGCGTCTAATGATGTGAATATAATATAAAAATAGATCATAAACACGTGCTTTTAAAAATGTTTAAAATTTTTTTTCTTTGACCTTAAATAACATTTTTTTTTTAATATTTTGTGTGACCTTCTTGAGCTTCGATGACAGCTTTGATCCTCCTTGTCATGCTTTGAATGTTTCTCAGGCAGTCTTCTTTTATTTTATCGTTTCTGTGCCAGGTGGCAATGAGTCTCTCAATTAACTGCTGCTTATTTGTGACAGTTTCCTGGGCAGTCTCTCTCTTCATAAGCTCCCATAGATTGTCGATCGGATTGAGGTCTGGGGAATTAGCTGGCCACTTCAGTACTTTTATTTTCTTTTTTTCTACGTAAGATGTTACTGTTTTTGCCTTATGGCACGGTGCTGAATCGTGTATAAAGGTAAAATCCTCCGATTCGCCAAACCAGTCTTTGATTTGTGGCATGAGCTTTCTTTCCAGAACTTCAATAAACTGATGTTGATTCATCATTCTATTCACAATGTACAGCCTCCCTGTGCTCTTACTGCTGATCACAGACCCTACCATGATCTTGAGAGGATGCTTTACTCGCTCCACTATGCAATTCTTGTGATATGTTTCACCCACTCGCCTTCGGACGAAGGCCGACTTATCCATGAGTATCTCCACTGTAGACTCATTGGAGAAACAAACCTGTGAATAAAAAAAACTATAAGATATTTTTTAGGATAAAAACAGTGGTTATAGGGATTTAAACTTTAGTAGTGACGTAATTACCTTATTCCAATCCTCAATTGTTCAATTTTGGTGTTCTTCGGTCCATTCCAGTCTCTTTTTCATCATTGCGATGGTCAACTTTGGTTTTTTGGCAGGGCGACATGATTTGAAACCTTGTCTGCGGACTGTCATGTCAGAACCTGGCATCCCAGCTTCACGAATAAGTCCCGTGAGGATTATTCTTGGCTTCTTTATATTGTTTACGAAGATATCCCTCATTTTTCTTTCGTCTCTGGGTGTAGTGACACGCTTTCGACCACAGTTTTGGGCACGCTGGTGAGTCAGGGGTTTGTTGGTATCAATTTTTTTCTTGATATTGCTCTCTCTTGCTTGCGCTACTTGGCATTGTTGAGCTATCTGACGTGGAAAGCTTTGTATTCAATATAAGTGTCTTTATCTCCACCATTTTAGACACAGGGACGTCTTTAGCCTTACCCATTATGATTTTCTTCTCAAAAATCGAAATGTCTTGAAAATGTCTTTAAAACTAAAACTTATAGTTTTTTTTTCACTCACAATCACCACTAATACATTAATAAAACGATACTAATCATACAAAAACATACAAATTTAGTTGTAAACTCCAAGCGCAAATTCACCATAATGTGTATGTTGTCACGTAATTTGACACAAATGACAGCTTCAGAGCTGTAAACGTCAAAAAAGTAAGGTTATTAGTGACAAAAAATAAAGAGTTTTTAGATCCTTTACTTTTTGTTGGACGTTAAACGTAAAACATTATACTTATCATGCGCCTTGAATAATAAATAAGGGATAACGTTTTTACTTAAAATATTTTTTGAATCCTTTCAGAAATTAAGCTATGACAGATTAACGTTAATTGACATTTGACGAACGTAACCTATAAAACGGCATTTATACCACGTTATATTCTATAACCTATTTTATTTGAATTATTTGCTATAATGGAAGAAAATATTGAAAATATATTAAGACGACGAAGACACGGAGAAGTAATAGATCACAATTTGATAAGAGGCTTAATTCTTCACAATATTTTTGATCCTGTAATGCCTGTTGCACCAAGACTACATTTTGTGTTGGAAACAATTGAAGAAAAAGATCATAGATAAATAATATAATAGTAGAGAAAGATGCTGAACTGAATTTTCTATATTTTTTATTCTAATTATCTTTGGTTCTGTTCATATGACTTTTTTTTTGTTTTTTATGATTTAGATATCTGGCATTTGACAACATTACAAACACGTAATCCCTTAACAACGTTAACCTTATCTTTACCTAAATAAGGGAATACCTTATCCGTTAATAAAGTAATCCGTTATTTTTCTGTTAATGCGCATGAGCAGAATAACGTATAACGTTTAACGTTACTGAAATAAGGGGCTTAAAAACTCGTCTTATATTGGCATACCATGTATAGCAGCATATGATTTTTATTATAAATTTTTTGAACAAATTTGAAAAACTTAAACTTTTGTTACTGATCATAATAATTTGATTACCCACTGTAGCATGTATTTCTTCCTTTTAAAATATCATTTGAACAATATACATAAATATGAAAGAATTTGAAAGTTGGCCCAGTAATCTTTCAGTATTATGATACGACAATGTAAAAACTATGAATCTCATGAGTACCAATGTGTCGATTTCTTTTAATAATTACTTTTAATTTTAGGTGGATTGGGGGTGAAACAAGATTTTAAAGCAGCAAACAAATATTTTTCGTTGGCTTCACAATCGGGCCATGTTCTAGCTTATTACAATCTAGGACAGATGCACGCACAAGGAACAGGCATGTTAAGATCATGCGCAACTGCTGTCGAGTTGTTTAAAAATGTCGCAGAAAGAGGCAGATGGGGAGAGACCTTAATGCAGGTTAGTATGAAATAATTTGCTATTTTATCTTTTGGAATATGTTATGTATCTTGCTTCTCCATATTCCTCTTGTAGTTCCTTCTCCTATCGGAGGTTGGCTATCATCACAGCTGTCCGTACCTTATTGCCGGCTGCTCTAAAAAGATCTACTGAGCTGTAACTATACCACTCTCTTAGGTTTCTCAGCCAGGAAATTCTTCGTCTTCCTTCTGCTTCTTCATACCTTTTTTAAAATTTTATTCCTAACAATTTCATTATCATCATCTTTTTGAAAATAGCCTTCTCTAGTTTTTTAAATTACTATGTTTTGTGCTCTCGATTTGCTCATTTTAATAATTCAAAGACCATCGCATGCTGTTATATTTTTCTAGCAGATATTCTCAAATTTCAGTTAATTTAATGTAATTAAATGAACTATCCTTCAATAAAGTCATCCCAGGAATGCAACTTGAAGGATTTTTTTAAACTTAGATCTGAATTGTTATTATCTCAATTAAACAGTTTTTTGATTTTAACACAAATATTTGATTTTTGCCGTTTTGATTTCAATTCAGAAGACGGTTTACTAACAGAAATCAAAGTAAGTTAATTTGTATTTTATTTTCGAGGTAGTAATCGAAACGTCAACTATGACGTATTTTCAAATAAAATTGTGGTTTAGTCTCGATAACTATAGTAGATAATTAATCAATATAAATTGACTAATTTATCAATACTTACCGTCTTATTAGTATATATAGGATGGACTGCAGGGACTTCTGAAAGTTCTGCAACAATTGGTCACATGACTCCTGTAGATCCTTTCCCAAGTTAATTTGCTCATTTTCTAACTTGGCTGCAGCATACTGACGACGACTAAATCGTCAGAAATACATACTTTCATCTTCATCTATTTTCTTTTCTACTAAGTAGCGAGTTTTGCCATTGATTTTTCCTTATCTACCATCGATCGTTTCGATAGCGACTTCGCCCAAAGAGGACACGGTTTCTAGTCGTTAAAACCTTCTTTTTAAATTCGCAGATGAAGATCCTTACTCTCTTTTAAACTACCTCTGTCGCGGACTCAAAGGAGACACTATTTTAAGTTTGCTTCCACATCTAGGAAACTCGCTGCCACAATCTCTTTGTCTTCCGACCACTTTGAGAGCAGTTTGTTAAGATCGTCCTGTATGCTAAAATTCAGAAATATTTATTAAATATTCTGTTTTGTCTATATTAGACTCTTACATCATCGCTGTAGATCTAGCTCTGGGTTGGCAACTTGGGCAGCTGCACTTGCACTCTCAATTTTTGATTTGAAGATATGGATAAAGAACGATAAAGACCTTTTCATTTCTTCCTGTGCTTTGTCACTCGAATGGATGTGTTTACATTATGCCATTCCGTTGACTATTCATCTCTTCCTTAAGTATTCTATTTTGCTTCTGAGAATAAATAACCAAATGGAGATCTACCTTTAAATCTTTTACCAGCTACATTGCCTTAAACTATCATCCTTTATATACTGTCTCTTCTAATACTAATGTGCCCAAAGCATCTTAATATACTTTGATTGATAGTTGTAATGAGACTATTGGTGCAGTGTGCTATCTATGTTATGAGCACCATTCTACGGTAGACCCACATTTCGAAAGATATTATTTATAAGTGTAGTTATGTAGTAATTTGAAAAATTAATGCTCGATTAAGACGTCGTGTAATGTTTCTTCCAATTTTCTTCTTCTTCGCGTGCAATCAGAATTATCCGACGTTGGCGATCACCATTGCGAAGGCTTCTCGATCTTCTGAAATATGGAATAATTGTCCTGCATTTGATATCTGAGTCCATTCACGAATGTTTTTTAACCATGAAACTTGTTTCCTTCCTACACCTCTGCCTCCCTCTATTTTGCCTTTAAAGATCAGTTGTAATATTTTATATCGACTTCTCCTTACTATATGTCCCAGATAAGACATTTTTCGATGTTTAACAGTCTTTAGCAGTTCTCTATCTTTGTTGACGCTCCTTAGGACTTCTTCATTAGTTTTCCTTGCTGTCCAAGGTATCTTCAGCATTCGTCTATGAACCCACATTTCCAATGCTTCAATTTTGTTCACGATCGATACTTTTAGCGTCCACACTTCTGCACTATACAAAAGTACGGACCAAACATAGCACTTAACCATTCTTTGTCTTAGTTCTAAACTGAGATGATTATTGCAAAGAAATGACTTCATTTTCATAAAAGTAGTTTTAGTCATTGCTATTCTACGTTTTATTTCTATGTCTGGATCTAGTTGATCCGTTATCATAGTTCCCAAATATGTCATTTTGTGAACTTTTTCAACTTGGACTCCGTTTAATTGAAGCTTTGCATCGGGATGTGGGTCACGACTAAACACTAAAAATTTGGTTTTGTTTAAGTTTATTTTAATGCCCATTTCCTCTCCTTCCTCGTGAATATGATCAAGTAGAATTTGAAGACCTTCAATATTATCTGATTCTCATCTTAGTGTCTATTATTATAAAGCACCTTTTCATAATAGCCATTAACCCCTTTTAAAGTTCAATAATCTATTTTGTACCTTTTATTCAATATTATAGATTTATTTTAGATTGTTTATTTTGCTATATTTTTAGGCTCACTCAGATTACAGAAATGGGCGTTATAATGAGGCATTTGTTCAATATGCTTTACTCGCTGAATTGGGCTACGAAGTAGCTCAAAGTAATGCAGCATTTTTGTTAGACAGAAATGAAATTCCTATGTTGTCAACACAAGAAGCTCTAGTTAGAGCACTCTTATATTGGAGCAGAGCTGCATCACAAGGATATTCTGCTGCGCAAGTGAGTAATTTTTAAATATATTTATGTAGTGTAATAAAATCCGAAAAATATGTATTTAAAACTTTATAACTAGGTATAGAAAACTCCAAATTGTGGTGAAGTCTTGTCACTCGGATTTTAAAATAACCTCTTTTATCGATATCTTTTAAAAAATTGTGGTAATGACACAACGTTGGACGCAAGTCTGAATAGCAAATAACACTTACCAGTAATTAAGGCTTTACAAACTCGCCACAAAATGAATACATACTTTCTGATCGTTTCACCTGTCAGGGAAGTCTAGGCGAAAATACATCATTTCCCGCACTTCACTATACAAGCTATTTGCCATAGATTTTTTCCATAAGTCTTTAAACTTAGTTAATAAAATGTCTTCTTTTTCCCTTTTCTTCTTCTTCTTCACTGGCTTTACAACTCGGGGCGAGTCTTCGCCGCATCCACTATCGCCCTCCATCCTCTACGATCTTGCGCTTCTATTTTCCAGTGTTGTACCCCAATTATAGATAAATCAGCTTCAACATCATCCTTTCATCTTTTTCTCGGTCGGTCTACTGATCTTCTACCATCTGGTATTTCAAAAAACACCGTCTTTAACACTCTGTCATCCTCTGATCGTACCACGTGACCTGCCCATCTTATTCGGTTTCTTTTCCCTTTTCAGCCCTCTTTAATTGTTCCGAAATTAAATTAAAGATAGCTAATTTTATTTAAAGCACTTTTTATCTTTTACAAACGATAATACTGATTTTAAGGTTAAACTTGGAGATTACTACTACTACGGCCTGGGAACATCAATAGATTATGAAACAGCAGCTATACATTACCGTTTAGCATCGGATCAACAACACAACGCCCAGGCAACTTTCAATTTGGGCTATATGCATGAACAAGGTTTAGGAATGGTACGGGATATGCATTTGGCCAAACGTTATTACGATAGAGCTGCAGAACTCAGTCCTGATGCCAAAGTTCCAGTTGCACTAGCTCTAATTAAGCTTAACGTGCTGTTTAGTTTCGAAAGTATTGAAGAGGTAAGTGTAATAATTTATGTAATGTAAGATATAACATCACAATCACACTATTTTTCTATTTCTGTAACAGAAAATGTGAGTGACGGTATAAGAGATTATACGAGAAAGCTTTTCTCAAAGATTTTATGTTTATTTTTTCGTGCAACGTACCGGGTGGTCCAATAAGCCGATCTCTCGGCTATGTATCAGAAACTATTCATGTTAAAACTGTAGGAGAAAAAATTTCTTAGTAATAGTGGCCAAGAGAAAAGCTTAAAAACCAGTTTTTTGTGAAATATGCCCAATTATATCAAGTGTTAAATAAGTAAACTAGAAAGAGGTCTAAATTCCGCACAAAGTTGTCAAGTACTTTTTTTTTATTTTTTCAAATAAAGGGTGGGGGAGAGTGGGAATGTATTTGTGGATAAATACCTATAACTTTGGTTTGGATCAACCGATTTTAACGAAATTAGTGTCATTAGAAAGAGTGTGGATAATTTAATTTACATCTACTATAAAACAATTACATTTAGTTTTAGTTGTCATGGGTAGAGGGTACTTTCGAATAGAAAAAATTAAAATTTGTTTTTCTTCAAATTGTTTAATGGAAACACCTATTTATTGTAAATTATAATGGAACTGGATTAAATTCGTAACAAAATGGCGCAAACCGCATGAATAATATGAATAAAAACGCATAAACATATATAGGACCGACGTGTTAGAGTCAACCAATCTCTGATAACTATACTAAGGTCCAGCGCCCACGTTGCTTCCGTATTAAAACTATGGTCTGAAACCGATTGGACTTCTAACGGTTTTGTGATCTCTGCAGCGTAAAAGCACGGGGATTCGCCCCGAGGCGATCCGACTGAATCTGGTTTCCAATCAGTTTAAAACCGATTTTGTTTGACCTTCTTCCCATGGTAGCAGTTGTGTATCAATTTTTTGTAGTACATTATTACCCGAACGTTTGAGAAATATTTTAGGATATAAAAACTTAAATGAAGTAAAAATGAAGAGGCTATTACAAAAAATAATCTATTGATCATTAAGAATAACGAATAACTTTTTCACATTAAAAGTTTGACGAAAAATCTGACCATGTCATTCGTTTACAGTTCTAATGATAGCCGAAAAATATATTTTGTAAACAAAACATTGTTTTTTTTTTGTTTCAGAAATACTGAGTGACTATTATAAAATGTTCAAATGTTATAATACATTTATCATTAAATTATAACCCAAATGATTCAAAATCAGTCGCTCCGAGATATGTTTTATTTGGGTTGTAAACCGATTGCAGTTGGAACTAGTTTTTAACTGTTGTTTTAAAACAGTTGCATCCTGGGTGCTGGACCTTAGAAGTATATTAAATGGACCCAACTCAATCCTAAACAGCAATTAGAGCGTTAGAAAACAATTAGAAGAGATACTATGTTTATCCTAATCAGTATACTCCCTCTATAATGAACACGGTTATTATGAGGTTTCGCTTATAACGAGGTACATGAGATGTCCCGTGAAATTTCTATTCAACTATAACCCTCTATAGCGAGGCAAATTTGGATATAACGAGAGAAAATAGGCTCAAAAAACGTGTTTTTTATATAATGTGTAGCTATACATAAATACCCTTTTTAACTGCCGCCCGCAATAAACTTCGGAAATTTATGATTCACAAGTGGCATTGTAGGGGTCCATAGTTGACCATTCGCACCTAATAATAAGGTCTTAATAAACAAGATGTGGTAAGTGCTTTAAACGTTGTAAGAAACTTTTCCAAAGACAAAAGCATACAACTGTTTCACATATTTAGAAAATATGATAGATAGAATACTAGACAATTTTAAGCAATCAAAAATGAGAGACTTCTTCCAATTGTAGAAGCAATAGTTTATGTTATCCTTCAAAATACGCTTTATACAGATTTACAGAATACAGATTTTTTGTTTTAACGTATATCATTGACAATAAAAGTAAACAATTCTTTTTTTTTTTTTTGTTTTAATGTATTTCATTGACAATAAAAGTAAACAACATTTTTTCAAAAACGCCATTCAAACAATGTTCTCCAACTTATATTGCTCCGAATGGCTTCCCTATGTGAAGTTAATGTTTTAGAAAACTACATGTTTATATGTATGCACAGTATTATTGTTGTTTGATATAACGAGATCGGCTTATAACGAGGTAATTAGTTCACCATTTCAGTTCTCGTTATAGAGGGAGTCTACTGTATCAACTATCAACATCATGTTTGACATTTCTATACAATTTTAATGCAACCAAATTAACCATCAATATTTATATTTTGTGGTTTCAATATTTATATTTATCTTTGCCTTTTGTTTTTACAGTTTTTGTTACAGGGTCCATTACATCATTTGCTAGATTTCAACGCCACGGTTGGATCCAATTGGGATTTATATTTAATAACAACCTTGACTGTCATGTTAGCAGCAATCGTGTATTTTAGAAGGCCTCAAGTGGCTGTTTAAAGATCCAACCTAAAGAAGCCATGTAGGTCGTGATATTTTTATATTTATTTTGTAAATATTAGAATGAATAAGTAATTCAAATATCGTGTATATATTGCTTATAGATCATTTTCTAAAAATGTTGAATATTATTATCAGTAAAACCTTTACAAATAAATATTTAGAATAATGTTTATGAGTTAATTTATATATAAATAAATAATAAACATGAAATAAATAATATAAATAGATTGAATACATTAAGAACATATTAAAAGTATAAATTGGAACAATCAAACAAATTCCACATAACAGGGAAAATACAGTAAAAGGAAAAGGAGGAAACTAAATCAGTTAATATTAAACAAAAACGTACAAACATGGTGAGCAAAGTATGTGCAAATAAGTATGCAAGAAAACACTCCAAATACGTGTAATTCACATTATAAATGGGAGAAAATTATTCTGTTTTAGGAAATGATCTCAAGGCGGTGACTGTTGTGATTTCATTCGTACATTACTTTAAAATCCATTAAAAACCTATCACATCAAGATAAGTTATTTTAGATGCCACAGATACCATCAATTTGGTTTCCTAGAGATTTTTAGTAATACAATTTTGTAAGAATGTGTTTTAGCCCTAAATAAATACTATATAGTCGATAAGGCTTTTGACGTTTCATTATAAGTAAGAGTATCTTGATCTGCAATTGATTTCTATATGCAAACTGTAAGTGTGTATTCGTCAGTAGGCACAAGTATTTTATTTCTTGTATGGAAGAGGCCCCCATTACAATTGTTCTTCCTCTCTGTTCGTCTAAATTTTTTTTGAAGTATACATAAATGGTATAGGCAATGTATACTTAAATGGCATAGCCCGTGTAACCAATGATAATAATATTTTTGGCTTATAAATGATTTATTTGGTGTCTCTGTCTCTAAGATAATTAATTTTTTGTTATAGCCATCATATTTTATCAATTATTACTTTAAAATTCAGACTGTTTTGTTTACATGTGTAAATACTTAACTTTTGATTGTTATTTTATTGTATGTGAAATAAAGTATTGTTAAACAAGAAAATATTTACATATTTTTTTATTTATTGTATCTCCTTTTATCAGAAACCGAATCGGAGTAACTAGCAGAAATTTCAAAATAATTGAGTCTTAATACCAATAAAACGAAGACGATGATAATCAGCAAAAACCCTAACGTAAACAACCATGGCTCGCTAGTCGCATGCGGCTTTTGAAGTATTATTTGTGGCTCTCGATAAATGTATCCGAGTTCCTTTTCATTTTTGTGTTACTATGTTTTAAAAAATTATCATTCCGGTTAAATGTGGACGGCCTTAGCTGTGGCAACATACCGGCTTAATAGGCCAGAGCGCACGAGTTCGGATCTTGCCACCAACAACGACATTTTCATTTCTAAAAATAATACGAGCCGTTCACTGTGCTTCGGAGGGCACGTTAAGCCGTCGGTCCTCCTGGGCTAGCCACGGGTCATGGGAAGGGTCGCCAGCCAAAATGGTCTGCCACCGAGAGTTTTTCACCTAGGTTTCATTTCTTAAATTATTCTGTTTAAGAAATTATGAAAAATAAATTGTAATACCCTATCTTTTCGAAAAATTGGAAAGAAAAAAAACGGGATATGGTACTCCGGGAGTGAACGAGAAGGGGGTCAATTCCATTCCAATCGATTACATTCGATTCGATTTTATTTTGTTAATTAAAATGATTATTTTAATAATTATTTACGCATGGAATTGCGTTTACTACTCCACATAATGTGGGGTAGCACAAGCTCTCGTTTTATTGCGTTCCTTTTGTTTTTATTTTTTCACATCTCTGCGCGATTCTTTTCACAGCATGAATGCATCAATGCACTCCGTCTGTAGCCCGCGATAAGAAAGCTATGCTTCCAAAAAACATTTTTTAATAATATGGCCAATTTTCTGGTATGTATAATAGGCTGTTCAATAATTTTTGGAGTTCGATTAGAAAACACTATTTTATGGTTTGAAATATAGTTTATTATTTAGAATAGTTTCCTTGAACATCAATACACTTGTTCCAACGAGATTCCAATGTATGAATTCCATCCCTGAAGTGAGAACCTGGAAAGGGCTGCAAAATATACTTCCACATCTGTTATGACCTAATCATTTGATAAAAAAGCTTTTCACGTATGAATTGTTTAGGTATTGAAATAGATGAAAGTCGCTAGAAGCTAAAACTGGTGACTACGGTGGATGTTTTAACAATTCGAACTGTAATTCATGGATTTTAGCCATTTTCAAAATGCTCATATGATACGGTGCATTATCCTGATGAAAAGGATTTTTTTCTTTTGTAAACCGGGTCTTTTTTCACGAATGTTTTCCTTCAGCTGACTTAAAAGGTTACAATAATGTTCAGAATTTATTGTTTTGTCAGTTTACAAGTAAATCACAAACAAGATGCCTTTCTCATCTCAAAAACTAATGCTTACAACTTCTTAGCCGACTTCTGGACATGAACTCGTTTCGGAGCCGAAGTATCAGGTTCACACCAGTCTCTAACATCTTGTTTTGATTCAAGATCATGATGATAGACCCAAGTGATGAATCGATGCACAAAATCCACTTTACCCTTTCGAAAAATTTCTAAATGTTGCTGAGAAAGTTGCATTCGAATGTTTTTTTGTTCTAGTGTTAATGAATGCGATACCGATTGTCTTCTGAAACTCAATACTTCAGTCAAACTATTGCTTATACCGTCCAATGAGATGCTTAGGGCTTCTACTAAATCTTTTTGTCACTCGATGATTTTCCAATACGATATCCTGTATTTTTCTACAATTGCTTGTGTTGGGCTGTTTTTAGACATCCTTGACGTGGATCTCCTTCAAAGCTTGTACGACCACGTTTAAATTCAGCAACCCACCTTTCTACTGTTGCATTGAAGGCGAAGAGGCCATAACAGTTGTGGAAGCATATTTTGCAGCCTTTCCAGATTCTTACTTCATGGATGGAATTCATACATTCAATTCTCGTTGGAACAGGTGTATTGATATTCAAGGAGATTATACTAAATAATAAAGAGTATTTCAAACCATAGAACAGTGTCTTTCTTATCGAACCTAAAACTTTCGAACAGCCTATTTATATACCTACCAAAAAATTGGTCAGAATAATGTAAGAAATGAAACCCAGGTGAAAAATTCTAGGTTTGCAACCCTTTCCAGGACCCATGTAGTGTGTGCATAGACACTAGGTAATTGAGACAGGGTTAAATATGAAAACGGCGCCGGAATCTATCCGAAATGATCTCCCTGGCAAAAATGTCATTCGATATTATTCCGGTATGTGTTTCAAAATGTATTTTAAATTACTGACAACAAATATGAAAGACTAAATGCAACGTTGTAACAAATTCCATTTCCGCCCAAGAATATCATACGTTGAAAACTTCGCGAACGAACATAAACAATGTCAATGACGCAACATAAAGGTCATCAAGCGACCGAACCCAAACCAATTTGTTTCACTCTTGCTACGGATATAATTTGTAATTTGGAGTTTTTGGTAAGTTAACTATAATTTGTTTTGCTGTATGTAACATGTGTTGTTATTGTTATAATAATACAAAACTTTAGCCTTATTTGAAGTCCTAATGCAGAAAATATTTATAAAAAAAGACCCCCCTTAGAAAGAAAAATAAATTAAAATATAAATGAATATTTTATAAAAAGAATTTAAATTTTTAATCATTTTCATTAATTTTTATCAATTAAATGTTAATAGATGAACTATTTGATGAATTAAAAGACTAAAAATCTGTTATTTCTATTTGATAAAAGAAAATATGATAACTTGTAATTTCTTGTATTTTTTAAATATCTTTATCTACTTCTAGTTCTTTTAAATATATGATGACAGAGGAAAAAAAATAAAAAAGAGAGTAAGAAAATAGAAGTAATAATGAGTGGGAGGAAAATTTTCTTTTTATTGACAATAACAAAAAAACATTGTGTTATTTGTAATTCTATGGTCAAAAATTATAAAGCTAGCAATTTAATCAATCTCAGTTTTCTAATCAGTACCCACCAAATTCCAAATTAAAATTGAATAAATTGCAGTCAATCAAACTTTTATACATTGAGCAATCAAACTAATAATGTGGCTGAAGCCAGTTTTGCTATTGCTTGGAATATTGCTCGTGCAAAATGCTAGTTTGGAGAGGGGACGTTTATTAAGAAAAACTTGGAAGATGTACTTAAGATTTTGAACCACAAAACGCAAGGTTACACAAAGCTTTTTCCCAAACCCGTATCTCGAAAGACACAACCGAACGATGCATAAGTGCATTTAATATATCTCTTGAATATAATTTAAAAAATGATATGAAGATCTGTATTGTATTTAACTTTATAAGTAAATGAGTATGTAGTTCTTGACGAATCGACGGATATAACAGATATTTCGCAATTAACAGTTTCCATACGTTTTGTTTCACCTGACTTTGTTGGTAAAAGAGACAATTATTAGATTTAGCGCAACTTCAAAAGTCAACCCACCGTGTCGATATTAAAAATGTACAAATGTAAACTTTTGATGTGCCTCTTAATAAACTTTTAAGCATCGCAACTGATGGAGTTCCGGCAGTGCTGAGTAAAAACGTCGGTCTTACTGGGCTTTTAAGAAATGATTCTCAAATTTCACAATTCGTACAGGACTCAAAGGCGGATCTTTTGGAAGTGTCCGAGCCTATAAGAAAAAGATTTCGGCCCAGGGAGCCTTAGTAGTTTATATTAGGAATAGATAGCTAAGGGTAAAAACTTATCAGAGGAAAAAGGGATTTCTGATCTTGGAACCGTCACAATAGTGGCGACCTATACTTATTTCCTCTATTATCACACTAGAAGAGTATAAGAGTCTGGTAGAGGAAATAGCAAGAAGCATAGAAGAAAAAAAGACTAATCGTTGTTGGGGACCTAAATGCAAAATCTATTTAATGGGAGCGCCAAGGAATGATTAAAGCGGAGATATGAAGATAATTAGAAAGGTGGCTGAGTAGGACGTCCTGGATGAAGAAATATTCACTCATCACAAGTACATTTTTTGTTTAAAATTAGAAGAAACATAAGAAAACCAAGGAAGGAAGGCAGGTCGAAATATCTTAACACGAGAAGACACAAAGATGAAATTCAAGGGACGGATGGTCATGCCCAAAACTTTGAAAAGGTACAAGAATGTGAGAAGATAAAATATATGAGCAAAATAAGAAGAGAGAAGACGGGCTATTCATGTGATGTACTGGTCTAGATAGAACCTACCACAGGGGGCGAGGTGGACTTTAGTTGGTAGACAGAGAGCAATAGGTGTATCTGTGAGCATGATTCCTCTGAAGGACTGCATACAGATGGGCCCTTCCACCCTGAATCCTACACACGCCAGGACATTTAACACATCCTTTAACTTTGAGTTAGCATTATCATACAACTCTTTCATCCTCCTTATGTTTTATCTAATGCTTCTCATAATTGATATTGTGGTACACTTTTATAAGATCTATATACAATAAATGCACATGATTAATAGCTATTTTCTTTGTAATACAAAACAAATCGTTAATTGTTGATCTACCTGCCCTAAATCCTGGTTGTTCCTTAGTCTCGAAATTTTTATATTCTATTTTTAAGCACTTTTTTTTAAAGCATAGCTTTCTTATCGCGGGCTACGGAGCTAAAAAATAAAAACAACTAAAACGCAGAACTACAGATCACACGACCACACACTACGTAGATTAGTAAACACAGTCCCACAGGTGTTTCTTAATAAAATAAATAAATTGAAATAAAACAAAATATATTAAAATTAAGGATTTCGGAATAGCAGATCAACTGAATGTAATATACTACTCTGTGGATTTCCTGACGATGACCTTAGAGAGGGGCTGTAGGGTATGTAAGGTACATGCACTATACACTGATTTCTCCAAGGTTTTGATCGGGTCAATCATAATATTTTAATAGTTAAAACTTAAAAAAATGGATGTTGATGGGCCACTTCTTAGATAGCTGAGATCATACTTG